TCATCAAAAAGAATTACTAAATTGTCTTTATTAGAAAGACCTCCTACTCGACGAATTCTCCAGATTTCAATAATCTTAGACGTATTAGTATTGTCTAAAATAGCCTTTAATGTTGCTTGTAGTTCATCGACTATGTCCTCTATAAAATTATCATTTATAACGTCAAGACACAAATCCTGCAATAGAATAAATAACTATCTTAGCATTTATTTATGTCATGTTACTTTAATTAAAAAACAAGTACATACTTCTGGTATTGAATGCTCTAATCGTCCTTCGTAAGTAAAAGATTGTGAAATTTGAAATCATTGTAAGGATAATATAAGAGGTGGTAAAAAATTAATGAGAATTGTATCAATATTTGAAAAGAACTGAGATGAAATATGTGGAAGCCCAATGATTGAATGCTGTGCCTTAATGTCTGTCAACTTGCAGTATCTAATTTCAGCTTCATGTCTTTTATTAATTGCCTCCTCGACTTCGCATAGTGTACTGGCATTATTAAGGGATTTTTTAATGATACCATTGAATGATTCAACACTTTGAGTGCTCTGAATACCCGCATTAAATTGAAGTGGTGCATAAGCTTTGGCCCAACTATTTCGATTAGCAAATAGCTTTTTTATCATATAATGTTCACATTCTGGAAATGTTTTTATTATAAATTCCCATCGTTGTTCAAAAATCTCTACACTTAATGCATTTCGACATGAAAAAAAAACTTTCTTAAATTCATTAAAATTCGAGCCCAAAGATACCTTAAGGTGTTTAATTATATTTTGCAAAATATGAAACAAACAGTAAAAATGATGTGTATTTGGAAAAACTTGAGAAACAGCGCTGATCAAGCCAGGTTCGGAATCTGTCCAAAATGATTTTGGAACTACATTATTTGTTGCTTTTAACAAGTATTGCAAAATCCAAACATAAGTTGAAGAAAGCTCATCCTCCACCAATGCGTTTGCTACATTTCTAAACCTTCCATAATTATCTTTTATCATAAAAACGCTTAGATACATATTGTATTTATTAGTCTTGCAAGTGTTATCATTAAGTACAACATCAGAAAAACGCCGATATAATTCCTGTTGAGAGGGTGATATCCAAAAAACACCTGATAACCGACGTTCATTACCAGAATGTCTAATAAATACCTTCCAACATGGATCCGATGACATTTTTTCAAAAAGACTATCAAGTAAAGAAACAGAATCAGATCTCTCATCATCATTTTGACGCAATTTATGAATTATATTATATATGTCTTGCTTATGAAACACATGATGTGGATGCTTCTTTTTAAGTATTTCTAGTTGAGTAATAGGTGCAACCTTACAATCTAAAAAGAATTCAATATCTTGAATCATCTCATTGTTAAAACGTCGATATCTAGCGATAACATCGGATATTTGTACAGGATTAACTGGGTGGTTATGCATATCTTTTAATGTTGTACATTTTATTTGTTGAGTAGTTTTTGGAAATGAAAAGTTACAATGCCATTCGCAACTTGTTTTTGTAGTACCACGTAAACAGTGTAAATTTTGGTCAATTACTTTTCGAGCCTCATAAGTGCCACTTGATGAACAACGATAAGATTTGCGACGAGTAATGTTAGAGTCATTTTGGTCTTTATCATTACAGAAAACTTGATACCCAAAACCCCACTCTAAACAATAATTATGTATGAATCTATCAACAGACAGCCAATCATCAAAACAATCACCCACGCGAAGGTTATATTGATAGC